GTAATGAAAATCAAAAACAGATGCATTCTTAACAATAGATTGTGAATCGAAATAACGCATACACAAAGTTTATGTCAGTTTTTATACACATAGACACTTTTGTTTTATAATCTTATCAGCTCTTTCAAAAGGGAACTGAAACATGACGATACGAAAACAGATATTTTCAAGGCAGCTGTGATATTCTTATGGCTATTATGAATAAGAATACTATAAAGGATTATCATAGTTGCTCTTGAAAAATTTTCTTTTTATTATCACTATAATTCACTTCCTTTCATAAAAAAAACTGATAACAAAATCATAAGAAAACTCTTATCACTGACATTCATATTATAACGAAAACAACATGTGCAATTCTTGATCTAATTCACTTTGATAAGAATATATACAAATGAATCAGCAACTGTTAGTTTCCTCTTCGAAGAACTGATAATTATTATTATGTATGAGGCTAAAACTTATTTGTCTGTAATCAAGTTAGCGTTCCTCACGAACGAGATAGAAAAATATATTTCGCATATCGTCATTATTTGTATATATAGTTAACGTAGAAAATAAGGATAGGAAGACAATTTACTATGAAAATGTCGAATACATACATTCCGAAAAGAGAAGTTCATGAAATAAAATTGCAGATCTAAATCGTGGACTATATGTATAAGCATCTACATGTATACTATACATCGTTACGTACACTCGCATGAACATAGAATTCAATCAAGCATTTTTTAAACATTTGACAAGAATGGAAGTATGGATTCAAAACGCGTCCTGTCCACTTCTTATATTATTTATCGTAATGTACAAAAGAAACTTACACAATAATAGGAAAAGCTCTTCCATTTCAATAATAAGTACAGCAATGCTAAATATCAGAAGTTGTAAAAAAACAAACGAAAATTATCAGATAATAGCAACCGAAATCTGAAGAGAGAAGAGTGAGAGGATATTCAATGGTAAATGATAAAATATTTCCAATAGTTTGTGATATCCAATAGAGAATGAGTCTGTAATTGATGCTATTCAAACACACTCTGGTTTTAATTCAGCAAAGAACACACTAAATTCTCTCTTGAATTAATCTGTGAAACAGAAAAATATGTGAATCTATGAAAGATTTTTTGTTTCATATAGATACGTATTTATAACTTTCTCCATTAGCTCATTGATTATTCAAAGTTTCTTTCATTATATCGAATGTCGCTTGAAAGCTATCAAAGAACATCATGAATCATTTGTTGTTGCAAAGAAAACATGAATTTTACTATCTTGTTACTCAGTACATGTTTTTCGAGTATAAACAAAACGACAAAAATACATTTACAAGTCGTTGTCACGATATCTCAAATGAAATCTTACTCCAATGTTTTTGTTATCTTCATGTTATTGATATATTTCATTCGTTTGATCAATTAAATCAGCGGTTCAAGATTTTCACACGAACCATTCGATTAAGTCTGAATTTTGAAAACATTCAAAATAAATTTTAATGTGAACAATTTTGCATGAAAAATGTCCACTAATCCAACAATCAAAAATCAACTTTACTCTTTGCATTTATCCATCTACATCTGATATTGAATTTAAGATTTCTTATGTTTGGACTTGCTACGATAGTGGAAACGGAATTGGTGGTTGTTTTTGTTAATATGTAACGAGAATGATTTTAATAAATTGAGATTAATGTGTTTTAAAATCATGTTCAGTTGAAATTCTTCAATACCAATAAGAGTAAGAGAATGAATTGTCGAAGACGAACTGTTGAAATGAATAAATCGATTACATTGGATGAACATTTACTATTACAAAGTGTAAGTGATCGAACATTTTGAGGAGGAATTAGTCGACAAAGTAAACGAAAATCAGATAAACTGATGGATTGAAAATCGAGCTTGTGACGATCATAAGTGTTGGTAACATTCCGAAATAATCGATAAACACATCGAACAGAGAAAATAATTGTTTGAGCATCGAAATAATCAAAAATACGATGAAATATTTCCACTGGTAATGTGTCCATAGACATATAGAAAACAACAATATTCTATGTTGGAAACTAGTGAATGTTCTTGTTACGACAATTTATTTTGTCTTTACAATGAATAAAACATAGAGAACGAAAAAAATGCATGGTTTTTATCTTAGCAGTAGGAAGGAAAAAATCGAAAAGAAATGCGTAATGACTTGACGGTGACGCGAAACTGATACTCATTGTGACTATGAATGACTATTCCATTCTGAATGACAGACGGTACACTGTTATAAAACATGGAAATGAGAAGAACGAAGGGCTTAGGAGTTTATTACGTGCTGATTACGGACAAGAGAGAAACTAAATATAAGACAGTAGAGTTCTTAACTCACGAACAATAAATCAACAGAAAATAATTGTTCACTTTTGTTCGTACATTCATGAAGATTTGTATTACAAAGGCACAGACACTATCCTCAATGTTCTTAATAGTATACTAAACCATAATATTATTACTATAAATTAGTTGTGCCAATATTTATAATCATCGTTTATAATAATTACATATTACAAAAAATACTTTCATGATGAAACACGAGAATTATATCTTCGAGTGAATCGATGTCGACATATACCGATTTGATATATGAAAATATGAGCATGCACCAAGTGATTGTATTCAAGAAAAATACTATTTTTCTCGTGATAATTTACTTATTTCAGCTCTTATATTCGAGAGACATCTGAGAACGTTATTAATCATTTGCCATTGCACAACAACAGTAACAAAATGTTTTTTTTTCATATTTCATAAATTACTGTGAATACAATGTCTGAAATGAAGTTGGAGCTCTTATCAAATGAAGTTTTACTGCAATGTTTCAAATATTGTCATATTCTCGATATTTTTCATTTATTTGATCAGTTAAATCACCGTTTCAATCATCTCATTCGGAATATTGAAAATATTCAAAACAAATCTCAATGTGACTTGTTCTGTATGAAAATGTCCATTGATTCGACAATCAAAGATCATCTCTATTCGTTACATTGATTCAATAACAACACCTCTTATCCAGTTCATTTATTTCTCTCAAAATTTTCTCTTCTCGACTTTCCTCGTCTTCATTCATTGACTTTACATCAAATTACACAAAATAATTGGAAATTGATTCGTTCAATCGTATCATCACTACCTGAATTATCTTCTTTTCGAATGGTTGACTATATCATCCATTACCATCATGATGAATTATCTTTCTTACCAATATTACAATTACAAATATTGATTATACCTATACAATCACTTTCAGTCTCAATCTCAGATGTTCAATTTTCATCAATAAGACACTTCTCCAACCATAAGTGTACGCTGGACATTTTATTTACTCTCTTGGCAAATGCATCAAAACTTAATTCTTTGAAAATAGATCATGTTCTTATCACATCTTCGAATCAACCAGCAACAGATATTTCGTGTACTGACTGCCCTGCAAATCATCTGAAAAAATAACATATTGAGTACTTTGGAAGTGACATTGATCGTCTTTTTATGCTATTAAAACGAACTCCCTATTTAAAAAGTTTAACAATAATAAGTAGTGATAATTCAAATATAAACAATACTCAAGCGTGACAAAACTTGATAAGTTTGTCGTTGGTACATTTGAAGAATTTCAGATTCAATTTTCATATCGATCATTATCCATCCAATGGTATTAGTGAACAAAGTTTGAAAGAATTTCACAATGATTTTTGATGCAAAGAACATCAATGGTACACGGAATATATAATGTGGACAATGTCGGCATCGATTTATATACTGTGTCATATCCATTGAGTAGATTTCAGCTTTTGCCAAATGATCACAGATATTATAATGAATCAATTTATCATTAAAATTCATTTGACACTTTTAGCTCCAGATTTTTTCGCTCAAAATCAATATTATTTTTTACGACTGTTTTGAGATGAACTTTTTATATTTCGAATCTCTTCTAACTATCATCAATTTATCACATATCAAATATTTGAAAATAATCGGCAATTTGGAACTTGAAACAAAAAGATATATTCAAAGAAATATTGAAATCGTTAACGCAACTAACGACATTAAATATCCAATTCTCTGGTTTAATAAGATGTTTGGAAGATGATGAACTATGTGAATAAAACCATTCGAAAACTGGAGATCTTCTTTCACGCATTTGGATACTCTAGACAAAATACAACGATTCTGTCAAATATTTTGTCACGTGAATGAATCAAAAATTTTATATTTGATTCAAAACTTATATCTAAGTTAACTAATTTACGAATTTCTGTGTATTTGAAGGGTTATGAATTATCTTGGATTGACGAAGAAGTGCAAAGACTTGGTTTAGATCTAACTGCTGATTTCGATGATAGTTGTTTTCAAGGAATTTTACATATATGAATTAATCGAAATTAAAGAGAAATAATTGAGGGTGAGAATGAATATTTGTTCTCACTAATACCGTAGTGATTTTTCTATTATTCATCTTTCGATATTCTTTTCGTTCAACATTATTTTGATAAATATGTATTAAGATTTTATGAAGAAAGTGCGTTATGAGTAAAATATTTCTATCGAAAACGACTTATTCTTTATTGTAGATTCACAACAAAAACAATATTGTATGTTGCATTAATTGTGAGAATATTGGTTTGAGCACACCGAGTTTTCAAATGTGAAGGTGAGGTATCTGACCTTCGTTCTTTCTCTGTTTCTTCGATAATGAATGATGTGAAGGTGACACAACAATTTTGACGAACTGTATCGAAAAAGAAATAAATTTCATTGAATTACTCTCGACCAATCGTGTTGTTGGAAAGAAATAAGAACATAAGATTTATTTGATATTTACCTGATAACAAATATCATAATAAAAAACGTGATTTAATTCATTTTGGAGGATACGAACGATGAATTTTGAAGAATTACCCAATGAATTAATAATTTCTATGTTTGAATATCTTTATCCGATTGATTTATTCCAAACATTCTATGGTTTAAATATTCGCATTAATCAACTTATCTCGAATAATTTCAAAATTTGTGAAATCAACCTTCAATCGATAAGAAAACAAGTCTTCTTTATAATTTGCTCTTCTTTTCCATCCATCCACGATAAAATCACTTCTCTGATATTGTCCGGTAATGACGAAACCCCAAATCTTCCAGAATTATTTCTGCAAAATGGTTTTACATTGACTGGCTTTACTCGATTAAAATCTTTGACATTGGATTCGATAAATTCCTTTGAAATTCTCCAATTATTTCTATCTCAATGTCACTTTCTTTCAAACCTTCAAATCTTCAATTGCAAGAAACTCCACGAAGAAGAACAAATCTTATCAATCTTGGAATTCATTTGGCATTTGTCAAATTTAAAAAGTGTCCGTCTAAAAGACAGTTTACACTTTGGTAAGATGTTCAAATATATAACAAATATTTCATCCTCAATTGAAACTTTACTTTTTGATAATGTTATTCAACTTGATTTCGATGGATTTATCAATTTAATTCATCATTCGGTTAAACTTCAACAGATTTGTATGACTATGGAAAGTAGTCATTCGTATTTACGAATAACGGAACGATTTTCTTCGATAATCTCCCTAAAACTTCTTCACAAAGGTATTCGATATGGATTAATCAACTTCTTGAAAGCATTTCCGAATTTAATTGATTTATCTGTCGAAACCGAGGGAACATTTATAGATGGATACCAATGGGAAGATTTAATTCATCATTCGTTACTCAATTTAGAAAGATTTCAATTCCAAATGAATGTTTTACTTTTACGTATTGACGATGCTGATGTTGAACAAAGAATTGATGAACTTTTAAATACTTTTCGAAGTCTGTTTTGGCTTGAGGAACGTCAATGGTTCGTTCGATGTCGATGGACACAATCTTCTGATCAAATTCAAACTACTTTTTATAGTTTACCGTACAGCTTTGAAAAATTCGTCGCGTATGAAAAATCAAAATCGACTTGTCTTAATCAAGATGAGTTTTGTTCATATGATCAGGTGAATATGTTGACTTACAATGATTCGATCAATGGATTATTTTCTCTTGCGAACAACTCGCAAGTTTGTTTTTCGAAGATACAACAATTAGCCATTGAATATCCGTTTAAGGAACATATCTGGTCGTTTATTCCAACGTTGAATATGTTGAAATCACTTCATGTGCGATTTCAGGACAAAATTCATTCTGTTCTTTTCCAATCATTATTAGACAAATCACCAAATCTGTATGAGTTGTCGATTCAATCGAAGATTCCTTTGGAAAATGCATTTGTTC